ATTAAATTAACGAAGAATTTAAAGGTCTACCTTGTTTACCACCATAAAATCAATAACAAGCTACATTTAATTATCTCAGAAAACTAGAATTTGAAATATGTTATAGTGGCGCAGGGCTTAGGGGTTAAAATGAACAGTTGATTTACTCAAGCTAAGAAGATTAATGGAGGATGGTAATGACGAGGAAACACACAGATAATTTTAACAAATAAGTTAAGGAATTTATTCACGAATTTACACGCTTAAGATAGTGTCAGTATCACTTTTCAGGAAGATAAATCAGAATTCTGAAATTGTGTAGTTTTAAAGTATAGTCATGAAGATCAATTATTCATACATCAAATTAAATGATCGGACACAAAATAATATTCAAAAATGTTTAAGACAAAGGGAAGAAGAGTTCGTGGTTCAGCTAAGGGATATATGGTTTGAATACATTCAATTAAAGAAAGAGATATAGTTTTACATACTTAAATTTCGTTAATTGTTGAGAGAACATATTTTGTTGTACTGCGTGATTGGTTAGAAGTCGATAATATAATATTATTATTATCAGAGAATAATTTTACACTAGGGATAATTTCAACGCAGTTGGCGAGCAAGTGTAAAGAAACATTTCACAATACTTATTACACTCTTCCCTGATTAATTAAATAATTCTGCTCATTTTATGTTAAAAGGAATTTCGCGGAGAGTCAAGAAATCATATGCATCTCCTTGGCTAACCGGTTAATTTCTGTGAAGGCAAGATTTTTTATTGGTCCAAACGCAATTTATCATAACTTCGTGAATTCCTTTCCCTCTTCTTCTCAGCTCACCTGTCAATTACTGTGAAGGTAAGGTTTTCATTGGTCTAAAGATAATTTCATACAGGCTCACGAAATTATTTCCTATTTCTACGTTATTTCTCCCAATTTGAATGGAGTGAGTAAAGAGAGATATTATTTCGCACTTACTACAACGTCAATATTTACATTATTCGGAATCTTGTCCTCATCTTTTTCGCCAAATTTATTACAACGTTTCGGTCTTTATACCCCCCGGCCTTCTTCACGTGGTCGGAATGTCGAACTGAATCCTTTATTTCGCTCACAGGGGTAGACTGTTCTAGTTCTACTTGTCATGTCTAATGGATGTCAGTTTTCAGTCATCTCCTGTAAATTCCCCTCAACGGCACATTGGACAGTGGATAAATGAGTCAGTTAGATCAAGTGACAGGACCCAAAGAGTGTGAGTTCAATACCTGGTTAAGGCAGTGGAGAACTTGCAGAGGGGAATTAACAGGAGATAACTGATAACTGACATCTATTAGACATGACACGTGGAACTAGAAAAGTCTACCCCAGTAATCGAAATAAAAGGTTCAGTTCAACATTCTAACCACCTGAAGAAAGCCAGACCGTACAACGAACGAAACGTTCTAATAAATATGGTGACAAATATGCGGACAATAGTCCAAATAATGTAAATAGTGTACATAATACCTCATATCAGAAATATAGACAGATAAATAGTCAATATATATTATGTTTTCCTTTTAAGCTTGCTATGTTGAATTAATAGCATGTAACTTATTGTTTAATAGCACTGTGTGGATTAAGATTTTATGTTTTACACCATTTAAAATTATATATTTTAAAATATTTCATGTTTACATAGGAAATATTTTATCAGATAAAATGTAAACAAATGAAAATATCGTTAACCGCTATATAATAAGGTTTTATATGAGTTGCATGATATTAATTTATCTCAGATACTTTATAAAAATTGATATAAATTCTTCAGAAAAATGTCTTTTTAAAATTTTAATCACACTCATAGAAGAAAAACGTTCATCATCTAAACACTATTCACAAGATATTTAATATAAACACAGTAAGCATCAGTTAATGCTTTACGGAATATAAGAAACATGTTAAAATATGAAAGAACAATGATCAACAAACCACCCACAGAGAATAAAACTTTCAGTAAATGCAGATTAAATAACGAATTCTCCTTCAAATGCATGCAGGAGGAATTATGACAAGACGCTGTAAAATCAAAAGATAACGAAGGAAAAATAAGCGTAGTAATATCTAAAGTACCCTGAAGACAGAGGAAACATGCACAGAAACATCCTTTATGTATACCCGACTAGCATAATAATTTCTGAATATATATTAGTTATTAAAAAAAAAAAATTCACCAAAATTTCATGGGAAATAGAATCAGCCTACAACAATAAAAATGTCTAAAGACGAGTATAGATATAATCACCTTCCCAGACCAACACAAATGACAAAAAACAAAACAAACAAAAAAACAAACGATCAGTACTTATCTCAACATACATCTAGTAAAAAAAAAAAATTACTACGTTACTTAAAATTGAAACTTAGAAAGGAACACCATGTAACACCATGAATATGCAAAACACATACATGATATACAGCGCGGATAATGTAACAGAGTTTAGACAAAACTAATACCTGGAACAAAGCAAATAAAATAAATAAAACACGAGAATAGATGAATGAAATAAACAAAAAAGTCGAAATAAATAAAGATGTTAAATGAACAGTAAACAAATTATAAAACTACGAATGCCCACATGAGCAGAAGTATTTTTATTAATAATAATAATAATAATAATAATAATAAAAATGGATGATCTCAAACTCTTTGACAAAGACGACAATGAGTTGAAAGGCCTCCTCAATATTGTAAAATACTTCAGTGACGACATAGGTATGGACTTCGGATTAGATAAATGTGCAAAAGTAACTTTCACGAAAGGTAGGATTACAGAAACACCCTTAATAGATTTAGATTTTGTCACAAAAATTAGGGAACTGGAGCATGATGAAGCTTATAAGTACCTAGGAATTAGCGAAGGATATGGCATACAACACCCCCAAATGAAGAAAAAATAAGAAAAGTGTACTACAGGCGTGTACGTCTGGTACTAAATATGAGCTAAACTCAAAAAACAGGATATCAGCCATAAACACATTGGCTGTCCCTGTGGTGCAATACAGCTTTAATGTCCTTAACTGGACCATAGCTGAATTTAAGAGAATAGAGGCCAAAACGAGAAAGCTTCTAACTTGCTATCGCATGCATCATCCCAAAGCTGATGTCGATTGTCTGTATGTGCCCATATCCGAAGGAGGCAGAGGATTAGTTCAACTAGAACTGTCCTACAAAACTACAACAATTGGCCTCCAATGATATTTGGAAACTACAGAAGACTGGATGATGGTATGCGTCAAGGAACATGAAAGTAGTAAGCGTCTTTACTCCGTAATGAAAGAAGCCAACAAATCCAAAATGGAGTTTCAAATGGGCGTAGAGATGCAACTACAGCACAATACACCGGTTGAAACTGCAAAATATCTCAAAAAGAAAGCAAAGACGAATGCAACCGACCAAATACAGAAGCGATGGCAAGATAAACCGCTTCATGGCCAATACTCTGCCCGTACGAAACAAGCTGACGTAGACAAAACCCAACCATTAGTGGCTACGTAGTGCAGGGTTGAAAGCGGAAACTGAAGGTTTTATCCTTGCTGCGCAGGACCAATGCAGGACTAACTATGAATTATCAAGCACATATACTAAAATATTCTGTCAGCCCAAAATGCAGATTCTGTGATAAATATCCAGAAACGATTGATCATCTTGTATCAGGTGGCACGGTGTTGGCACCCACTGTATATAAAACCCGACATGACAGGAAAATCTGCAACTTCTACGGGAAGGAAACTGAAAGAAACTGGTATGAACACCACACAGACCCGGTTACGGAGATAGGACCTGTTACAATTCTATGGGACTACACAATACACACTGACAGAAGAATCAAGGCCAACCGGCCAGATATTGTTATTAAAGACCACAAACAAAAACGGTGCCTCCTTATTGATATGGCAGTCCCTGCTGACTGCAATGTATCTTTGAAGATATTCAAAAAGTAGTCAAAATACAAGGACATTGAAATAGAAATCTCGAAAATGTGGCATATGGGAACATCAACAATCCCTGTTGTAGTTGGAGCCCTAGGACTGGTTGGAAAAGACTGCAGTAGACTAATGGAAGGGATTCCTGGAAGTCCATGCCTCAAGGAGATACAAAAAATTGTTCTGACAAGTACAGCCCACACCTTACGAAGGGCTTTATTTATGTAATTTAATTTTTTTTTTTGTTTTTGTTTTTTGTTTTTTTTTGTCAGTGGAAAGTTTCATGACGCCATTGCAATACTTAGGTCCCTGGGCGGGACCCGGAAAGAAATGTGTAAACGCCAGAAATCAAAGAAAATAAAAATGATAATAATAATTTTGTCATTTGTGTTGGTCTGGGAAGGTGATTATATCTATACTCGTCTTTGGACATTTTTATTGTTGTAGGCTGATTCTATTTCCCATGAAATTTTTGGTGAAATTTGTTTTTTTAAATAACTAATATAATAATAATAATAATAATAATAATCAATTGGGTATAATTATGTAACACAAAAACATATCAAAGATAAAATATTAACAAAACACATTATAAAATAAATTCAAATGACCCTAAATAGAATCACAATTACTCCGAAACATTAGTCTATATAATAATAAGAAATATAAGCATTCCCGCCTGCGTAATAGCCGTTAGAATAATACCATAGTTTTTACTAAACATAATACACAATTGAGCAACGTATATAAATAGTCGATCCAAAACACAACACTCACGTCGTGAAGATTGCGTGTAAGCATGAATCAGACAGTCGATGTTTGGTCTTGACACCGGCGTCTATTTTTATAATCACACACACTCATATATATATATATATATATATATATATATATATATATATATATATATATATATATATATATATATATATGAGATAATATATAATTTTATATATCAAGAACAGTATTGAAGTAATTGTAAGACAAAATGTTTGTTTGTGACGCGTTTCACCCGTAAGGACTTAATGGGACTGATTTTTTACGGTGTATTTATAGTACCCAAGGCAAATTGGAGACAAAGAGACACATCGGCAGTACATGTTTAAAGAACTTTCGATTTTGTATCAATATCTATCTATCTATCTATCTATCTATCTATCTATCTATCTGTGTCTGTCTGTATGTCCGCCATTTTCTCTCTCAATCACACACACACTCTCTGTCTCTCCCCCTCTCTCTCTCTCTCTCTGTCACTTATAGGTGAAACCTAGGTAGGTTTGTCTGGCTCTTTAGGTTTACTTAGTTTACTCGACTTAGTTATTTTTACTTTAGTCGTGTCGGAGGTTTTTTTATTTATTTGGATTCTGAATTTAGATTCTTGACGATTATTTTCGTTGGAAGTATAAGTTCTTTCTTTTTTTTTACCCTTTTATTCCCTTTTCTATTGGTTTGTTCATGTACATGCTAAAAAACCTAAGGTGTCGCCGGACGACTATAGCTGCTTATATTTATAAGATTATTAATATATATATATATATATATATATATATATATATATATATATATATATATATATATATATATATATATATATATATATATATATATATATATATATATATATATATATATATATATATATATATATATATATATATATATACATACATACATATATATATATACATACATACATACATACATATATATATATACATACATACACACACACATATATATATATATATATATATATATATATATATATATATATATATATATGTTAAGAAATGGACAAGGTCCGACAATTTATTTATTAAAGACATTTTTTATTTATGTTTAACGTTGTTATTTTATAGATACAAGTATTTAAGCAAATGCTCTGTTTATGATATATATATTGTGTTTAACAATATGATATAATATTCTGTTAGTTTTATTTTTCCTGCCTGTCGTCCACAAGTTGTTTTTGCATGTTATATTTGAGAATTTACACACACATACGCTCACAGGCATACATACATACATACTTACATACATGCATATGTGTGCGTGTATGTGTGTCTGTGAGTTCAAATCATACCTATATTATTCGAAAGTGTGCGCGTGTTTATACATTTTATAATTAAGAGAGTTATTCATTCGGTTGGTTTTAATTTTTCAAAAAAAAAACACATTTTAAACAGATTATTCATAAATACACATTATGAAGTAAACGCTTAATAAATTTCTTTAGAATTTCTAAATAAATGATCATATGAAGAATATATTGATATTTTTTTTAATTCTATGTCCCAGAAATAAACAGCTAAACAGGGTCCGCTTTGCAAATGTTTATATTGTTAAAACGAAACATTTGTAAAGAAAGTTTATTTTAATAATGACATATATATTTAGTTATCAGTTAGTAAATATTATCTCTTTTTCGTTAGTTTGGTTGAAAATATTGCATCGTCTCGAATAGAATGGAAATGATGAATATCTTTCTTTCAGTTTGAGAAAAAAAAATGAAGAACTCCCAAAAGATTCACTTAGCTGTGCTATATAGATTAATACATTGAGACATTTAGGAAATGTTTAACTTTAGTCTCTTACAAAAGTTCCTCGAACTTACATTTGAATTCAGAAAAAGTGAACAACATAAATTCATCATATTTGCTCAAATTTTGAGTCGTTTGATTGCTCTTCAAAACTGTTGTTCTTTCCTGCTTTCCTTTGTTTTCTCAATTCTACTACCACGGCTGTTATTGTCTCAATATTCCTGATATGCCGACGTCAAAAAATTACTATGAGAAAATAACAAGGTGAAAATTCGGGATAGAAAGGTTAAGTGATGTGTTAGAATTAAAAAAAAAACAAAAAAAAAACATTGTGGCAGTAAAAAAAGAAAATCAACAAAAGCCCATCGTTTATTTTTTTATTTTTTTTTTATTTTTTTATTTTTATTTTTTTGCGGCGACCCTGCCAGTTATTCGGCCTTCGCAAGTTCAAAAAGTAAACACCCAAAAGAAAAAAAAGATGGAGGAAATTATATCTCTGGCGTTGTGCCGTTCTCTGACTTTTTAGAAAAACGCAAGATACTTTTCTTTCCTTATTTTTTTTTAAAATCGTATTATGTTCCATGGCAGTGGTTCAAATATTTTCCGACTTCGTTTCATCTCCCTTTCTTGACGAGTGGGTCTTCTTGATACTGATTGGAAAAGCATAGCCGTCCCCTCAGGGTGACGAAAGTCAGAACAAGTCGATAAGAGTCAGCGTTCGCCAAGAACAAATTAAAACGCAATATTTGTGTCCTCTTTGGCTCGTTGCCATGGAACAATATTTATCACGTTAGGCTATTATTACTTTAATCACTTTGTGCGTCAAATATGTTGTCTTGTATCTTGTATTAATCTATCTGAACGTCACATCGCCATGTAGTAGTAGTTGCAAAAGAAAACTCTCATAGCATTAGCGCACTGAAGTTGTTATTTACTATGCGTTTAGTTTATATCTGTGCGCCAATTTAGAGACAAATAGCAGTTCATAAGTTTCACTTATGAGTCACCTTGTTAATATCGAAATCTCTACCTAGTATAAAATCCAAACAACCACACGAAAAGAATATATCACCGAGTCGTGGCTACGCGTACGCGTGCCTGCAGAAAAAAAGCTGACCAACATTGCATTGCGTCAAGGGCGTAATTTTTTATCTTTATCAAAGTCTAAATAAGTGAGGTATTGGCTGGGATGATGAGACCCTAGAGTTGAAATTATATATATGTATATTTTACTCTTACTGCAATTCTAATGGATCACGTTTATTATCGTATATCCTCGTGTAACGCGAGATCTCACGTATTGTGCAGCATCCAATTTTCCCCTATTTAACATATATTTCGTGTATCAGGCGATTTTTTTGTTTTTTTTTGAGATATCAAATTACAATCGACTCATATCATTTCCGATTTCTTTTTAACCCGTCGTCTAGTAAAATAAGTTAAAATCTAAAAGATAATGATACAAGTATTGTTAGTAACGCTACACTCATTGCGAAAACGCGGACAGCCATAAACACCCGAACGAAAGACAGCTAAACGTCATAAAAACATAAACAATAGATAATTCGCCTTTTTCTATTGTATAATACAATATTAATATGTGAATATTATATGCATTATTATAGGTCAAGTAAAAAACACTTTTATCAAAATCATGTTAATTTTGAAGCTGTAATTTTAGACTACACTAAATGAATATATACTTTGATCAACGGCGTAGTCAGGGTCAGCATTACATATGCTAATTTTATATCGTGTGCACCAAGTGACCCCCTAAAAATTAGCTTCAAAATTAAGCCTTCAAATGTCGCATTATACGAGGGTATATACGGTATGAATTTAACGCGCATCTATTCGAAGTGAATGTAGCTGATGAACGTGTCCCATGCATACATAGAGCTAGAGAGAAAGAAATTCTCAACTGCCACTACATTCATTTTTACAGACGATCCAGCCGCCATTGAATAAACATATCACCATCAGGGGACAGATACTGCATGTGGGGATGGTTCCTGGAAGTCGTCCTTTGTATACGTTATTTTATGCATGGCTGGTGTTCCATTATAAACAGTTAATTTTTTTAAATTGTGAAAATCAGTCCAATTATATGACAGTACTTCCTGGACAATCCCTTCACAGAAGAGAGGTGTGGAGCAATAAAAATGTGGTTCTACGGAAGGATGCTATGGAATAACATGTATAGGTAGACAAAGAAGACATATTAGGATACAAGGAAAGAAATAGAATGCTTATTAAAAAGAAAAACTTGTTGAAGAGACAGATGAAATTTCTAGCGTTCATAATGAAGAAAGCGTGCTTTGAAGTCAAGGAGGACAGAAGAAAACAAAGCATAACCTACTAAGCGATCTTGAGTAAATGGATGGAGAATTAATGTTTAGGAGATATAACGAAAATAAGAAAATTTATTAAGAAACACAAATGGCAACAAATTGTGAGCCATGATCGCCAACAACATGAAGGGACACGGCACATACAAGAAGAATATTTAGTTTGTAAGAAGAACAAAAATAAAACCAAACATGAGAATACTAGATTGTTATCTCATATATATATATATATATATATATATATATATGTGTGTGTGTGTGTGTGTGTGTGTGTGTGTGTGTGTGTGTGTAGTCAAAGCAAATACATCCTGACGTGTGCATATTGAATACTGTATTTCGTTTGTCTATATATATATATGTCTATATATATATATATACTAGGATTGATATGAATTTTTGATCCTGGGTTACACGCTTTTGCGTTCGTCAGAGTTTGTGTGACGATCGGAAAATCCAGGGTCACAAATTAACATCAATCCAACTATATATGTTAGCTCTATCACCGATATTGAGGGCTTTCCAATAAGTACCGCGCGTATATAATATATATATATATATATATATATATATATATATATATATATATATATATATATATATATGTGTGTGTGTGTGTGTGTGTGTGTGTGTGTGTGTGTGTGTGTGTGTGTGATGCATTATCAGTAGGTGAATTGTATTATTATAACGATGATTGGTTGGGTGGTAAAAAATTGAGTCGAAATAATTTTTATTTTTATTCGTTTATGTTTTTTTCTGATTTTACGTGACGTAGTAATTTTTTCTGTTTTTTTTTTCTCGGGTTTGAATTTTGAGATACTTTCATATTGTTTATTTAGTAATTTGTGTTGTTTGGAAAGGTAATTATAACTATTTTCTCCTCTAGACAGTTTTTGTATTTATTGTTGGAGACTAATATATGTTTTATATATATATATATATATATATATATATATATATATACATACTAAACGTGTAATGTTCGAAACATGAACTGGCAGTTTATGAACAAATTAATCACCTCAAATTAATAATAAATGAATAGTTGTTTATTAATCATTTTTTATCTGAGTGCAGCTATAAATTTAAATCTATATGTCTTTTAAATAATTAAACATATTTAAAGACATTTAACATATGTGACAAAATACTTTGTCGTAGAGAGTTTCAAATCCGGAATATGAATATCATAAAGAAATAGCTGAAGTGAATATATATATATATATATATATATATATATATATATATATATATTTGCATACTTATATTGTGTAGACATCAAGTAGGGAAATACAGATTTTTCCATTACTGATCGTTGTTCTATTGGATTGTTCTATTAAGGTAGATTGGGTTTTTCATCAATAATTTCTTCAAAGTAT